AACAGAAAGGTAAACAAACTCCAGAACCAACACACCTCCAGCCGTCATCAGAGACTACCCGCAGATAAAGCGTCACGACATCGTAAAAGAAAACGCTAGAGAAGTCTGTGATCACCGATAGACGGCTAGATTATGGTAGAACACAAGACAATGAACTGAATCCAAAGAGCGGTGAAAGGAATAAAAGACAAGAGAAACATCGTCAAGGAAGAGTAAAGGCGAATGATACCCCCCTGGAGAAAGAGAGAGAGAGAATCTTAAAGTCAGGCAACGATGAGTTTTCTCCTTTTGAGAAATTTTATTAACGTTTTGAATCATGTTAACGAGGGGAAGGACAAGAGCGTCGTATGTTTTTGTCTAACATGTGAAGCCTCAAACGACTGGGTGTCCTTTCGTCAACACGTCTTGGAAAATTGTAAAACTTTTCTGGGAAGTAATGAGATTTTTTTACCTCGTCATGATGGTGGGCATTTGGTCGCTGGTTGACGGTGGAGCAAAAATACGGTGGAATGAATTTGGTTGTTTTCTGGGTTTGATTGCGTGTTAAGAAGACACTTAACCATAGAAACACAAAAATATTAAACATAAGACTATTTATTGCATTTTATATGACTCGTATCCTACAAACCCATCCACCATCAAAACCGAACCCACTCTACAACCTCAACCATAACCCCTATCTATAACCATAAATTTACTCACACAATAACCCTACCCACAACCCCTCTCATAACCCCATCCACAACCTCAACCACAATAAAACCCACAACCACAGCTCTACCTACAATCACAACCCCGCATAAATCTACAACTCTCTCCGCAATCACAACCCCATCCAGACCAGAACACCGCCAACGTCACAACCTCGTTCGAACCACCCTTCTACATCCTCACCCTGCACAAAATCACAACCCCGACCACAACAAAAGCCCCTCTCAAAACCACATCCCCACCACAAGAAAAACTCACCCTCACCACAACCCCACACCTTCACCACAATTCCGCCTATAACCACAATTTCCTTTTCGTCTTCTCCCTGAAAAGAAAATAAGAAGGAATAGGAAGAACCCATAACTGAGGAGAGAAGAACAAGGAAGAGTAGGGCATGAGATTACCATCCCATCTTCTGTTCCACTTCCTCTTCCTCCTCCTACTCTCCTTGAAAGCCATTCCTTGTCTCCTCTCGCGGATTAGCATGTTCGATTGGCCGGAACAACTGAAAATTTTGTTGGGCAACCACAATTTACAGACTACCTGCCAGACAGTCAACCAACATTGCCAATAAATCCACAACATTACCCGCAATATCCTTTAGTAGAACACTTTACATTACGTCCTATGTGGCTATTTATGAAGCCAAATGTGGATAGCTATTAGTCTATTTCGTATTTCGCATCAGTGGTATACAGAAACTAACAGAGTTGCTAGAACGAAAAACTACATTCCCACAGAATTTCACTCAACCGAGCAGTCATGTTATCTTTTACCTCTATCTTCACATCATCACTGCTATGCCACGACTCGCATCATAAATTACTGTATAGTTATAAACATTACCGGAAACATTTTTAGCAGTGTGTGTATGTGCGTGGCGGAGCGGAGGGGGGCGGGGGCGGGGGGGTTAAGACGAAAACAAAAAAGTACTTTTCATCAGTGGTTCCCGTCCCTCACTCTTTTCTCATTCTTCTTTCCCTGCTCGTTTTCCATTTTCTTCCCTCCTCTTTGTCTTCGTCTTCTTTATCTTACCCCCTTTTTTCTATGTCCACTTCTTCGTCCTCCTTCCTGTTCTCTCTCCCCTTCACTTTCCTTGTCTTCCATTGCCTGAAGACAAGAGAGTGAAGAAGAGGAGACCGCTAAGTTACCACCGAAATGCTTGGTGTGTTTCAGGACAGAATTCCTTTGCACCTAAAAAAAAAAGGTGTTTCAGAGTCTTCAACATTTCAGAGGAGACAAAGACCTCCTCTCGCCTCCTGCACCAGATAACACCTCCCTCTGATGACATACTGCCACCACTCTTTCTTCACTGTCTTCATCAGGAGCCAACAGTTTCTCCCACACTCTCTGTATCTCTTATTCCTTGTGTGTGTTTCTACTTTTACTGTTCCTCCTTCATGAATTGTAGTTTCTTTACTCTACAACTTCTTTTCATTTAATCTCTCTCTCTCTCTCTCTCTCTCTCTCTGGCTTTCTAAAAAAATCCTTCTCGTATTTCTCTTTATTCTTGGCATTTATCTCTTTCTATCCCAATTCCTTTCTATTTTTTCCTCCACTCCTTCCTTCTTCTTGACCTAAATCTCTCTCTCTGTCTTCCTTTTTAGATACAGTTTCCATTCCTTTCCTCTAACCCCTCTATCCCTCTATATTTATCTCTCTCCCACTTTCTGTCCCTTCCTATATATTTTCCTTCCGTCTCTTCCGCCACCCGAGGTCCCCACCAATATAGTTATGATTTCCACCGGACTTTTTTCTGGGTGGCATGGAGATCAGGAGGTGGCCAGAGGAGGGAAAGTCCTGCCTGTGTGATTGTTTTTCCTTGTCTCGTGCCTGTGAGTCTCTCCTTGGCGTTGTGTTTTGTTATATACGTTATGTCTCTCCTTCTCTGTCTCATCCAAAACACTGAGATGGTTTACTCTGTTGTCACACCCATAGTCAATAGATATATAGTAGTAAATAATTGCTCTTAATTTACTATGTCCTCGTGATTGAAACAAGAGGTCTTAAGTTACGTACACAAAAAGATTATCCGTGAGGTATATACATTACTTCACGAGCTATATTTAATAAAGGTGAATTTGGTGTCCTTCATCGCTCTCGCTGGCTGGTTTATGAATGACATATTAGCTTGTTGCATATAAGAGTAACTGTTCTGTCAATTGTATATTTATGAAACTTCAATAAATGACCACATAGTGAATATGTGCACGATTAATATCCCCGAATTTCTCTATTTAGTAAATTTACAAACACGGGTACAGTATTAGTGTTGCGCGCACACACACACACACACACACACACACACACACACACACACACACACACGCACGCACGCACGCACACGCACACGCACATTGTATCATATCAACTGTGAACTCTTGAAGTGACCACAGTCCATTTATTACGTTCTTACAATTTTAGTCACTAGTGAAAGAAAATAACAACAACAACAACAACAACAACAATAATAAAACAAACAACAGACGACACCTTTTGAGATTCCTGACGCTTGGTTATCCCTGAAGAAGACTCATGATATTACAGCGTGTTGCATCAGAAGTTATAACCAAGGGGGTAATAAAGGTATATACAGTACATTAAACACGGGAGTAGTATTTCCTAACTTCTACACACTTTTTAACTGCCTCGAGGAGTTGAAGAAACACAGTCATTAAGAAAGATTACCTTAAGTTTGATCTTTCTCCATAGCAGCCTTGTAGAACCATGATACACTGTTCTAAAGGAGGATAAAGAATAGTAGGAGGAGATGGAGGATGATAATAATGATGAAAGGGGGAGATGGAAGAAGGGTGGGTGGGAAATAAAGAGGGGAGGAAAAGGATTAAGAAGAGGAGGAAGAGGTGTTGGTGTTTTCCTTTTCATTTCATCCTCCTCTTCATGTGCTTGTCATCGAGAAGAAGAAGGGGAAGAGGAGGAGGAGGAGGAGGAGGAAGAGTGGACCATGGTATGCGTCTACTCTTTCTCGTTTACTTTCTAGGTAGACGAGGGGGAAAGGAAGAAGAGGAGAGGAGGAGGAGGAGATGGAGGAGGAGGAATGACGAAGGACGAGACGACGAAGTGGACCAGATGAAAGAGGAGGAATAGGAGGAGGAGGAGGAGGAGGAGGAGGAGGAGAAGGAAGAGTTAATGTTTTTCGCTAATCATCTGTTTACTAGCTAGTGTCGTCTTTGTTGAAGAGTCTACATTAGGACCTCAGTGTTGGCTCTCCCATACGCCAGAATATATTATTAAATGGATAAATAGGTCGGTGGATATAGACATAAATGGAGTTGATAAATGTATGGACAAAAATAATCATAGATGAACTGATAACAGATAGAATAATAAACAGCTTAAATAAATAAAAAGGGAAAAAAAATAAGAACAAAATCAGAAAAGTAATAAGTCAAATAATTATTTCTTGAACGTAAATTTTTTAATAAGATGGGCACTTTTCTTATCAGTTACAATTATCTATTGAAAATGAAACGCGATGGAGTCTTGATTGGGTGCAATTAAGATGAAAAAAAGGACTCGTATAGATGTAAACGATGATAGCGTTATAAAGATCTATTATCATACGTAATTACTAAGAATTTCCAAATTAGAAAACGAATAGCAGACCAAACGACCTTAAATCAGCACTGCTATATATATAAGTTATTTATCTCGTGTGACAAAAATAGTGATCAATTCGATTTTTATCTCGACGAAATCTCAAAAAAGAAAAAAACAGTTAGCAGAAAGATGTCATATTTTTATATTTTATTAATTTGTTTATTCATAGCATATAGATTAACTGATCAAATTGTGGGTAGGAAGGCCAGGTGGTGGGAGAGACTGGGAGAGATGAATGAACTTAGTGGCGTCACCCTGGGAGAGATGCAGACTCTGAGAGGACTGGTCAACACAACCCGGAAATGTATGGAGTGGCCACACACACACACACACACACACACACATTCTGCCTCTCTTAGAAACAATATGCAGTTCTGTTTTAATAAGAATTTTCAATATGTAGAAATTTTCGAAATATTGTCTCTTTGAAATGTTAAATTGTTTAACTACAGTAGGCATCATGTGTTTGAAACTTTGAGGTTAGACTTATAGCTCTCTCTCTCTCTCTCTCTCTCTCTCTCTCTCTCCAAACATGAGAAACTATAAAATTATGCACCAAGGAATACTACTACTATTAAAATATTGAATTATTATATACGAGTAAGAGGGATGTGGGGACGCCAGGACACATAATAGACATAATATTAACGTGGCTCCCATGACGACATTTAATTAAGAGTGAGGCGAGGCCGGGTGATAGAGGAAAGGCCGGGTGACAGAGGCGAGGCCGGGTGACAGAGGAAAGGCCGGGTGACAGAGGAAGGGCTGGTGACAGAGGCGAGGCTGGGTGACAGGAGGCGAGGCTGGTGATAGAGAAAGGTCAGTGATAGAGGAAAGGCCGGGTGACAGAGGAAAGGTTGGGTGACAGAGAGGCGAGGCTGGGTGACAGAGGCGAGGCCGGTGACAGAGGCGAGGCCGGGTGACAGGAGGCGAGGCTGGTGACAGAGGAAAGGCCGGGTGACAGAGGAAAGGCCGGGTGATAGGAGGCGAGGTTGGGCAGAGGCGAGGCTGGGTGACAGAGGGTGAGGCTGGCAGGACAGAGGGAAAGGCTGGGTGACAGAGGAAAGGCCGGGTGATAGAGGTGAGGCCGGGTGACAGAGGCGAGGCTGGGTGACAGAGGCGGAGGCTGGTGACAGAGGAAAGGCTGGGTGATAGAGGGAAAGGTTGGTGACAGAGGCGAGGCCGGGGTGACAGAGGAAAGGCTGGTGACAGAGGCGAGGCCGGTGACAGAGGAAAGGCCGGGTGACAGAGGAAAGGCTGGGTGATAGGAGGCGAGGTTGGGTGATAGAGGCGAGGTTGGGTGGGACAGAGGCGAGGCTGGTGACAGAGGAAAGGCCGGGTGGATAGAGGAAAGGCTGGGTGACTGGAGGCGAGGCTGGGTGATAGAGGAAAGGCTGGGTGACAGAGGCGAGGCCGGGTGATAGAGGAAAGGCCGGGTGGACAGAGGCGAAGCCGGGTGATAGGAGGTGAAAGGCTGGGTGATAGAGGAAAGGCTGGTGACAGAGGGCAGGCTGGGTGACAGAGGAAAGGCCGGCTGACAGGAGGCGAGGCTGGGTGGATAGAGGAAAGGCCGGGTGATAGAGGAAAGGCCGGGTGATAGAGGAAAGGCCGGGTGACAGAGGCGAGGCCGGGTGACAGAGGCGAGGCCGGGTGACAGAGGCGAGGCCGGGTGACAGAGGCGAGGCCGGGTGACAGAGGCGAGGCCGGGTGACAGAGAAAGCCTGGGTGACAGAGAGGCGAGGCTGGGTGACAGAGGCGAGGCTGGGTGACAAACGAGGCCAGGGTGACAGAGGCGAGGCTGGGTGACAGAGGCGAGGCGGGTGACAGAGGCGAGGCCGGGTGACAGAGGCGAGGCCGGGTGACAGAGACCCCGCAGTCAATAGTCCATTTTTGTCTGAAAGCAATTCCAGTCACCGGTCCAGCGTAAGTGTCCTTTGAAGGTGAGCATCTGTATGTGCCCTAACCTAACCTAACCTAACCTAACCTAACCTAACCAATAATTTGGCTGTTTTTTGATGGTAAACAACATTAAAGTGAAACAGAGCAAATTTGACCACACGCCAATTAATTTCTATGAAGTTCTACCAATAAAAAAACGTTATCCCTATCTGGCAAAAGCGTCAGTTGTATTTTAAAGCTTAATCGACGATTATCCCAATTTAACGAAAGCTTCAATGACCAACATATGTTTTCATCCTCTGGACTGAGTGTTAAAAGTTCAGGCCAGTGTGTCCTGTCTGGTTAACAAACACGAAGGAAGGAAGGAAAGGAGGAAGGAAGGTAGGAAGGAAGGAAGGAAGGAAGGATAGAGGAAAAATAACAGCGGGAAGAGTGAGAGATGACCCCTGCGACAGCTATAATACTCACGACTTTAAACATATTTCCCCACATGAGGCTGAGGAGACGACGAGCGTCTTATTATTATTGCGTGTGGGGAGGGAGGGGTGACGGAGGGGTGACGGAGGGTAAGGGAAGGTTAGAGTGGGATGAGGGAGAGGTGAAGGATAAGAGAGGAAAGGGCAGATTACGGAGAAGGGAGGGGGGAGGAGAAGAGAAAAAGAGGAAGAGAGGAGGGACACGGAGAGAAAATATGTAGTAAAGAACATCATCATCAAGACTTAAATGAGCAAAATGGAGGCGAGGGGAGAGGTAGAGGAAGAGTGAAGGAGGAAGGAAGAGGAGGCGAGGTGGGGGGAGGGAAGTCGTTATCTGGTGGTGTAAACATAATGATAACGAATCTTCATTTTTTGTATAGAGCTTCATATTGTTATCTACTCGTGATAATAAGATAATAACGAGGCTTTATTTTCCCCTAAAGCATCAGCTCTTGTTATCGTCGTAGTATACTCAACAGTGCGCTGTAATATGTCACGAGAACAGCTCAGATAAGGCGTCACCACGACAGCAGGGGCCGACGGCTCAAGACTTCAGTGACAAATAGACTAAGAGGAAGGCAGCTGTCACCTTGTCAACACTTCGAAGATAAAGTCTGTCACGCGCCATCTTGTAACTCTCCCCTTTGTCTTGATATGTGTCATACCAGTATGCTGACTGACCTAGTGAGAATTTAGGTTAATTTTCCAGATGAAAATGACCTATATATATATATATATATATATATATATATATATATATATATATATATATATATATATATATATATATATATATATATATATATATATATATATATATATATATATACAATAAAAATCCCTTATCAGGGTCTTGCCTCGATCTATTGGGAAAAATAACTTTGGCAATTTCGCTAGGGTCAAGTTTTCTCGATATCGGATAGTGAAGAGATAAACAGCTCAGGCCAGGCTTTCATAGTTTCTTCAAACAGACGTCCACACTAAGGAAGCACATCTGATAAGAAAATCTTCAATCTTTTGTAAAATGATCTTGAAGGTTATGATGACAAGCAAACTCGTCATCCACCTTAAATATACCGTAGTGTGTCGATAAAATAGTTGTAATATTGAAAGTGGGTCCCATAGGCATGACTGCCCGTTAGGGACAGTGTGGATACAGCACACTGTAAACTAAAAGCCTTCAGTACACAAGGGGCAGCATGGCCGGTACTGCATTCACTTCCCCAAGTTGTAAACTTGGGTACCCATTTACAGCTGGGTGAACTGGGAGTGCCAGCGCTGTATGCATTCGACTGGCGCACCCATAAAAGAAGTAATAGAAGAAGTAATAGTTGTTGTAGTATCCAAAAGAGCAGCAGCAGTAATAGTAGTAATAGTAGTAGCAGTAATAATAATAATATAATAATAATAATAATATAATAATAATATAATAATATAATAATATAAATATAATATAATAATATAAATATAATATAATAATAATAATATAATATAATAATATACTAATATACTAATATAATATAATATAACAATATATTATTAATAATATTATTATTATTATTATTATTATTATTATTATTATCAAAAGAAGTAGTAGCAGTAGTAGTAGTAGTAGTTCACTCTGATGACTACACTACGCCCCACAACAAGTCAGGAGTGGGCGTGCCTTCCCGTAATCACAGGCTGGGAGAGAAGATCCCACAATTGTGTTAGTTCCCCCAACACTCCCTCCCTCCCTCCCTCCCTTGACGGGCATTTAATGGTTTTCTTGCTGGGGAAACTCTCCCAGTGGCAGCCAGCCAACACTCGGGGGAGAAACGACACCAGAATTAATGAGAAAACCAATTTATATTTACATAGAGAAAAATATACATATTAAAAGACAATCAAATTAGACATCCTGATAGACCATTGTGTGTATAGGTTCTTGGATATACACATAATATACACATAAACTAATTAAAAATGTATAGGAGCTGATATATCATTACGTATATGTCTTTGAGGTGATTTCTAGAGTTAATTCATATTATTGTCCATATATATTTAGATGGTAGTGAGTAACTTATACTATAGTCAATCTAGTAAGACATTAGGATCTCCCTTTAGCACACCGTGATCATTGACAAGATATTAGTATGACTTATGGAGTTGAATATGGTGGTGGTGGTGGTGGTGGCCAGTGTATTGTGTCTGTGTGATTTCTATGGTGTTTCTATTACTATTTGTTATGAAGGTTTTATTAGTGATTAAGTAAAAAATGAATTAGTACAAGAAAACTTATTATTATTATTGTTATTATTATTATTATTATTATTATTATTATTATTATTATTATTATTATTATTATTATTATTATTATTATTGTTATTATTATTATTATTATTATTATTATTATTATTATTATTATTATTATTATTATTCCCTTTACAAGCTTTATCATAATTATTATTACCATTAAATATATGTAAAATTTAATTAAATAATAAAAATGAAAACGATAGAAACTAATCGAAAGGTAATGACATTCTAATGCATTTTAGTGTGCGTGTGTGCGTGTGTGTGCGTGCGTGCGTGTGTGCGTGTGTGTGCGTGTGTATCAGTGCTATAGTCGAGGCCAGGACTTATTATCAGAGACCGAGATCAATCAAAGGGAACTGAAATTGAAGGGTTTATTACATGGTCTCCAAAAGGTCTAGGGCAAAAATCCAAGACCACAGATGTCCCAGACCGAAACTAATACCGAGATCGAAGCATCCAAGACCAAGTTCGAGGCTGAGACCTAAAGAAAACCTCTCGAGACCTAAACCAACTGATGTATATACATGTGTGTGTACCGCAGACAGCCGTGGTTAATACCGCTGACTGCCTGAGTGTTTCCCGTGGCATAGACTGCGATTAAGGAAGACAGAAGTTCCTCAGTCAATCCAAACTTCAGTTCTTCCCCAAAATAACTCCTTACTCGTGTCTCTTTTTGTCTCTCTGTCTCTTGTTGTCTCTCTGTCTCGTGTCCTGTTTCCTCTGTATCTTTCTCATTGCTTTTTTTTTTCTTTTGTCTCTTCGTATATTTTTCCTCTCTCTCTCTCTCTCCCTCTCTCTCACGTGGTCATTCTCCCTGTTTCTCCACCACACACATTCCCACATAACCGGAGACGTCACAGTAATACAGTGGAAGTGAACTTATGACAGAACCCCATAACGTGAACCCTGAGGGAGTATCACCCATCTCTACCTCTCTCCCCTCCTTCCTACCGTCTTCACCCGCCCACGCCAACACAAAGGAACCCAATCTTACGGAGAAATACGGCTGCCGACGCCCCCACTATTTCTTCACTAACAGAGATTTGTGGTTTAAAGGAAACAATGCTGCCTCACAGTGTTGAATTGTATTGCCTTAGCCTCTCAGTAATCACGTACTCCTGTCGTCCTGTGGAAAATAATCACTTTCTGCTCGATATGGTTTTGAAGCGGAGTTGATATCGTGATAACAACAGCTGGAAGGGTCGAGTTAGTTTATGATTTTTTTTGGGGTCATGTTTTAGGAAGGTTTTACCCAATTCTTGGAAAACCTTTGTTTACCTCCATTAAAAAAAAATAAAAAAATCTTTTCGAATCTGAATTTAAATTATTGTTTAATTAGACGTCTGGATTGGTTAGTGAGTTCGGGTGACAGTGGTGAATGAGATTTCTAGTTGTTCTTAGATTAAATCAGAATAATACGGGTGGTTTAACCGAACGTTGTATCTACTCGTACCTTAGAATAAACTTACTAAATTTGAATCTCAACTTGGATAATATCGGAAGCTGAACCGGACGATGAGTTTGATTTGACGGTGAATTAAAGTCGAGAGGGATAATGAGGTCAGTTTAATTCTGTAGCCGAGGTAGGTGGAGTATGTGATCATCGGTGCGTCAAAGGGAGCTCTGAGAGGAACTGGACTGTCAATAAAATGACCATTCAGGTTTCAGGGTCTAATAAGGCTTGTCAGTCACGTCGTTATTGTCATGTCAAAAGCAGGAATGACTTTGGTAGCATGTCGAAGGTCTACATTTCGGCAAAATCACAAAATCATGTATAACACACACACGCACATACAAACACACACATAGAGAGATATGAGAATATATACAAATTTAATATCGTTATCAAATAAAAGCTTAGCTCAGAGAACGAACTGTGTGGTCAATCGTCACATCAAAGTCGGAGAGAAAATGTCAATTATGGTGTGAGGAGGGAAAGAGACCGACAAGTGGTTTGCTGTGGTCAGTTGGTCGGGATATTAAACCCCATACCTTTGATCGTTGCCTAGGAGACCTCTCCAGGCAGCCTTCCGGGGGGTTAAGACCTTCCAGTGATGTAAGCTCTGTGCTTCATTTTCTCAGACGTTTTCAAACATCAGCTTTCCTTCAGCCTATTACCCACACCTACGATAAAGCTTTTTAACCGCAGTTTCCTCTAACTTGAATCCTCTTACCTGCAGCTTTACCTAACTTGAATCCTCCTCACTGCTTCATGTTCTTCACTAAAGTCTATTCACCTTACCTTACCTGTCCCACACTCTTATATAAGATTACATTCACGAACGAAAAATCTCGACCATAGTATCACCTGTCCCCTGTCTCCTGACCTGTTGTAAGTGAGGTGAGGGTCTTCTCTCTCTCTTCTGGTGTAAGTGAGGTGAGGATCTTCTCTCTCTTCTGGTGTAAGTGAGGTGAGGGTCTTTTCTCTCTCTTCTGTTGTAAGTGAGGTGAGGGTCTTCTCTCTCTTCTGTTGTAAGTGAGGTGAGGGTCTTCTCTCTCTTCTGTTTTAAGTGACGTGAAGGTCTTCTCTCTCTTCTGGTGTAAGTGAGGTGAGGGTCTTCTCTCTCTCTTCTGTTGTAAGTGAGGTGAGGGTCTTCTCTCTCTTTTGTTGTAAGTGAAGTGAGGGCCTTCTCTTTTTGTCTGCAGGGGCACCTTATCTCTCTTCTGGTTTACCACAGGTGAGGGCCTTCTCTCTTCTGTTGTGGCTCAGGCAAGGATCCTTCTCCCTCTCCTTTAGCCTTACAAAGCTACGTCGTCTTTTCACACTATTGTTTAATTTCTCCCCTTTACCCCCTTAGCTCTTTTGAGTCAAGCTCCCGTTAGTTCATTTGTTTGACTTCCTAAAGCTTCCCTCTTCCACTATAGGTGCAGCGTGGCTTTAGTGTCTCGTGGCCCTGTAGCCTCCTCATGTTCCCGTAATTTCAGTAATCAATAGAGTTTCAATGTTCCTAGATGTGTAGTCTAAATGATTCCCTTACATAAAATTTCATCCCTTATCTCGTAACTTCAGCTATGTCTAAGCTATAATATCAACTTCAGTTATATCTAATGTTGTGGTTTCAGCTATCTCAAACTTCAGCTATCCCTTGTGCTGTAACTTCAAGCATCCCCTGGTGGAGTAGCAGCGTCTCTAGGCTAGAATGACCTTGTTGCTTCAGTTGCCTCAGAACCCACAAACTTTACCTCCCACCAGGCTCTCTAACTTGGTGAGTTCGGTCAACTAATCACAGCCAGTCCCGTGTACCATGACCCTTCGTCCTACCATTCTCACAACTATTTTCTCCCCGTCTCTCCCTTCCTGGTGACTGGTTGGTTCTTTCTGTCTCTCTCTCTTCTTGGTGACTAGTTCTCCTTGTCTCTTCCTTCCTGGTGATTATAATCTCCCTGTTTCTCCCTTCCTGATTACTATTTTCACCCTGTCTCTCCCTTTCCTATAGTTAGTTCACCTTTATTGCCTCTATATTTACCACTTCTACACAAATCTCTCTCTCTCTCTCTCTCTCTCTCTATTATCACTGCTAACTCTCATCTCCTCTCTCTCCTATTCTTTTTTCCTCTTATTTTTTTTCCTTTCATTCTCCCTCTGTCCTCCCCTCCATCCTTCCCCTTCAACTTCTCTTTTTTCCTCTCTCTCTCTCTCTCTCTCTCGCTCTCTCTCTCTCTCTCTCTCGCTCTATCTCTCTCTCTCTCTCTCTCTTATGCTCCTCGCTCCACTTCCCTCCCCTCCTCCTCACCATTACGGGAGGCGTTACGGTGTTTCTGGCCCAGTACCTTCGTCTTTGTGGCTGTGGTGGAGGCTGGCAAGTGGAGGTATCAGGTGGAAGCACCGGGTCGTCAGGGTGGCGACTTGGTGAAAGAGGTGTACTGACTCTTCTGGAGGATTATTCCCAGTCTCAAGAGTTACGCTGGTGGGTTATATAATTAAGGTTTGAGGGACGTAGAACACACACACACACACACACACACACATGAATACCATTAGGTCAAATAACTCGGGTAGCGTATCTAGAATTTTTTTTACGCCATCATAGCCAATTCACCAAGCGAGGTGACGCTGGGGGAAGAAAGAGCACTATCACCATGATTACTAGGATACTCCCTTCACCAACAACATCCATGTCACCACAAACGTTACAACAGAACGTCACCACTCAACCATTCAACATTCACACATTGATCCCTAACATTCCGCCCATACCAGAGTGAATATGTCAATCAATCTTGTGTGAAGTTTAAGGTTTCCATCGCCTTCCGTTTCGGTTCAATGGCTGGGAGGTAGAATTTAACGTACAGGTTAACAAAGGCAACAATTACAAGACAATCAGATAGCATCACTGTGGCCCTTAGTCCCTGGGGCGGATTAAAGGACAGACCCAAACGCCCTGAGACCTCTTGGGATTGAAAGCTAGGTGGAAATATCTCGTCTACTGGGGCGCCCATGACCTCACACCTCTAAAGTAAGTAATTACATGGAGAGAGAGAGAGAGAGAGAGAGAGAGAGAGAGAGAGAGAGAGAGAGAGAGAATATTCGGCCCTATTCCTCATCTGCTCTCTCTCTCTCCTTTCCCTTTCCTCCCTCACAGAGAGTCTCCTATGGGACTCTGAAGGGTCTTAAGACTCCACCCGTGAGAATTCTAGATAAACATATCTTTTTTCTCCCTCACCCCCCTTCTACCTTCTCCTTCACCCTCTTCTTCTACTATCTCCTTCACCCTCTTCTTCTACCTTCTACTTCACCCTCTTCTTCTACCTTCTCCTTCACCCTCTTCTTCTACTTCTATCTCCTTCACCCTCTTCTTCTACCTTCTCCTTCACCCTCTTCTTCTACCTTCTCCTTCACCCTCTTCTTCTACCTTCTACTTCATCCTCTTCTTCTACCTTCTCCTTCACCCTCTTCTACCTCCTCCCTCACCCTCTTCTACTTCCTTCCTAACCCTCTTCTCTCTCCCCCACTTTCTCTTCCTATTTAGGTACCTACATCCATCGCTTTATCTCTCACTTTCTCTTTATATCTCTAAAAGATCTCTTTCTCTATCTCTTTCTTTTCCTTTAGAACTTTGATAACATATCCTTCCTTCTCTTTCTCTCAATAAGTCTTTGATAAAATCTTTGTCCGTGTCTCTGTCGCCGTGTCTCTCCCTCGCAACACTCTGTACTGTGTTTCTAATACGACAATCAACCAAAAAACAACACTCGTCAATAACAATCAGGATGGCCACCTCACAAACGACTAACTCCCGATCCCGGATTTATTGACACAAGCGAGAATTCTGTTATATACAAATAATGACACCCAATACCCAGCACTCAGCATCCAGCAGTCAGCATCCAGCACTCAGCATCCAGCACTTAGCATCCAGCAGTCAGCATCCAGCACTCAGCATCCAGCACTTAGCACCTTTTAGGAGTGTCAAATCATGAAAATGAGGAGGAAATGGACACTACAAACTTAGCACACTGGAGCCACGAGAAATAGATTCTAAGGGAAAAATTACTACTGGGGAAGTGTTGTACATCTTAAATCTCTCTCACCATTACAGAACACATTCAGTTGTATCTGTGAAGTTAGTTTTTTTACTGCCACATCAATGCTGTTTCTCAAAGCTGGTATTGTACGTCTGATAATGCATTAAATCAGGTTATTGTGCCTGGTGTCTTTTTCCACTAATACCAATCCAGTAATTATGGGAGCGTTCGTTAAAGTACAGTATACCCGAACGCTGTTGCTTAATGACATGGAGCGCCATCTTGTTGAAAGACAATAGTGTTGAGAAATTATCTGGGAAAATTGTTTGAGAAATTGTGAAGCGTGTTAAGACGAACAGATCCTGTCATTGTAGCTTCTGCAGAGAAAGGAAAAAAGAGCCGTAAATCTTTAATTTGGTCATAGCCTGTGGCTGTTTCATTGTAGTTTCTCATTTGCCAAGATTAACATCGGCATTATATAAATAAATAAATAAATAAATAAATAAATAAATAAATAAATACATAAATATATATCTATCTATCTATATTGGTAGTTTTGGCCAAAAAAATAGATTTCGTTGAAAATCTCAGTATAGATATTCCTAAGCATGTTGATTCCGAATCTAATGTATATTCCAAGTGTAATTACGGCCACAATTACCCCGCAATCGAATTAGGGCTCATAGATTCGGAGTTAGCTTTCTCAGGAATATGTATACTGAGATTTTCAACGAAATCTAATTTTTGGCCGAAACCACCGAAAATTTAAGACTCTCCCACACTTTCCACACACCATAAGCCCCTCGTACACAACAAGTCCCTCTCCCACACTTCAAGTCCCTCTCCCACACTACGAGTCACTAACACAACCCACACCACAAGCTCCTCCCATAGCACCCCCCCACATACACATTACAAACCCCTTCTCACTTATCTACCACATCCCACACCTCTTATATACCTCCCACACTCCCACAGCCTCTCCCACACCTCACACGACCCTCCCACACCTCGGTGCCACATCTCGCTCGGCCAGACAACTTATTTGATGTGAGAAATCCCTATGATTAATTCAAGTGGAACATCCATCGGTGTCATATCTCTTCTGATGTAATTAAATGCGATGTGTGGGTCGTGAAAACCTGGTGACGCTGGTGCAATCAACCTCTCCAAGTGGTGGCTCAGTTGGCTCCAGGGAACACGGTTGGAATCATGATGGAGTGTGTGTGTGTTTGTGTGTATGTGTTTGTGTGTGTGTGCGGGCGCGAGTAAGTGTGTATATTCCAAATATGGAGGTGCACACACATACATAACCTCAACACAAAGCTACATAGCTGCACGTTGTGACACACCGAAACTAATCACACACACACACACACACGCACACGCACGCGCACGCACACGCAAAAATATAATGAGAAACTTTGGGCATATTTGACCTGGTCTCCGCCACTATTTTCCCTCTTCGACAAAAATTACTTCACCTCTCAATGAAAAGCACACACTACTCACCATCCAACTCAACAAAACGCTTAAAACACTCATTCCCACTCAGCAGAAACGTATATAACACCACCCCCCTCTCCCTTCAACAAGACATATACATCATTCCCCCTTAAGACATGCTGTATACATCATTCCCCTCTCACTTCAACAAGACATATACATCATTCCCCCTTAAGACATGCTGTATACGTCATTCCTCCACACCTTTCAACAAGACATACCTTATTCTCCTTTCCCCTCCAAGACATACGACTACACACAACACTTCCCTTCTTCAGCACCTCTCAATCTTTACTCCAATTCTACCTCTCCTGCCGAGTACAATTCTTTCATTAAATCAGGAAAAAAAATCCTAGAGGAGAAAATTAATAAAATAGTTTACCTTATTAAGCATACAGGTGTCGTGGATTTCCGTCAGGTAGAAGCCAAGTACGTGAGACGTAATTAATGAGCCTTGACATATATTAAGGTGTAGGTGACGGTGTTGTGAAGGGTTGTGGCTATGAATGGTTGTGAGTATTTGTTGAGGGAGGATGTTGTTGTGGATAGTTGTTGTTATTGTGGGATGGTGATGTAATAGTGTGTTGTTATCGGTGTAGGAGGGTGTTGTGGGTAGTCGTGTTGACGTGTTGGGGGAGTGGGGGGTTTTGGTTGTAGGAGTGTGTGTGTTAGGAGGATGTTGTTATAGGAAGGGGTGGTTGTGGGTGTTATTCTGGTTGTTATAGTGTGCAGTTACATACATACATACATACATACATACATACATACATACATTCATACATACATACAACCTGAAGAAAAAATAGGCCTTTTAGATATCAGATACTATGTAATATAACGAATTTTGCTGCACATTCCTGAGCAACGGAAGTCAAGGGGAATCAATTAGTTTTCGTGAGCTCTTTGAACTTTATCAACTCTATGATATAAGATGAAGTGACCGTATGAGTAACAAACAGGACAGAATATTAAGCAATTCATAAATATACTCACAAGAGACACCTCCAACTAGCTCATACATATGTGCTCACAAACAATAACAACAACCATGTAATGAGGTTCCTAAAACAAACTCACATTCGAGAGAGAGAGAGAGAGAGAGAGAGAGATAATCAGGAGCTATAATTGTCTGGCTCCGTATCACGTATTAGGAACTTAATTATGAAGACACGTGTCATATCAACCAATTCAGTAGCATTGATAGGTGTCAAAACCGAGTCTCCCGCTAGGTGGCAGCAGCAGCAGCAGCAGCATTAATGAAAGTCCAACATTTAACATCACTTGGTTTTAGTTTATATTTCTACATTCCATCTTTATATTTCTTATTTACCATGCAACTCAGATAGGACCTAAATGCAAGGGTTAATATCTGATGGGAAATAAAAGTTTGTGGTGCTATGAGTAATAAGTTTCGTCTTAGTGTTGTGCTGTAGGATACACTGATCAGTACTAAGGTTATATTACAGTGTCAATCTATTTAATGGCCTATAAATTGGACATGTATAGAAAATAAATACCATTTTTTCTTCTACCATACAAGTGATGTGACCTTTATCAATGAAACATGAGCCACATCCGAGGTGAATGTCAGACGTACAGATTTTGTTACGTGTTATTTTAGGTTCTGAACTATTATTCCAGATTTCATAACATATCCTTAAAATTGTTCATTTTTTTGTCAACTTGTCTCGGTTACATTTCACACTCAGCCTTTCTTACTGCTATTTGTTTTCCCATTGTTTCAACCATAAAGGAATTACATAACTAAGTGGACAAGAAACGCACCTCCAGTTACTATATAAATCTCCGCCCTCGTAAAAGAAAGACAAACTACTTTTCCTGCGTTTTTATTATTCTTTTTTCTTTCTTCTTTCTTCTTTCTTCTTCTTCTTCTTCTTGCAAAAAGGAACAATAAAAAGTAAACTAAAAGGTTTCGTTAGAGATACAGTAAAATCTCTTTCTTGTACAAAACACTGACTTTGATTTGAAAATTTAACCCTTGACTAAATTTGCTTTTAAGTCAGGTCTTTTGAGGTCAATGTTCAACCTGTCTTATTACAGTAAAATATCGATTGATTTTGTTTTTATTCAATATCAAACTTTTTAATTTTTTGACTGATAACTCTTCACTTTACACTTTCATTACTGACATATAAAATGATCAAATTTCACCATTTCCTAGCTGGTATTTGAAGCATCGTGCATTAATGATCTAAAAGTTTTCCAATCTCGTCTCTTGCCTCTGTCTTGTTACAAACATCCCCAATAACGCTTATTTAAACCACCAGGGTGATACTTTCTTCCCGACAGAGACATTGTAATTCGGTTGATTTTATAAATACTGTATTTTACCAAAGTCTTATAATGAACAGAGCATTGTCAGAAGAGGGAGAATACCAATGAGGGTAACCTGAACCTAGATTGATTTGGCATTTAAAACTTTTCTCTAAAAACTAGAATATAAATCATGATCACATCTTGTAAATATTCTCTTAATAAAAAGAAGCAAATATGTTTTCAATGGTTTAGCAGCATAAATATTGTATCAATGGTTCTTATCCAAATCACCTATGTACATCTTCTAGGGAGTTGCAGGTTAGAGCTAAGTATTGTTATATCTTTGTCCCTTGGTTGAGAGTACCCTGGACCCTTGGACTTTCCTCACGTAGAGTTCAGAGTGAGTCTCATTTCATGCATTTATTTTTTAATGCCCCTGAAATCTAACATTTTAAAGATATTTTAAAATTCCTTGAAGTTTCTCTATTTCAAAACGTCCTCCTCTTAGTGAACAGACTGCTAATTCAAGACATAATACAATGAAGCGAAAAAAAAAAATATGATAATTCCTTTAAAGGTTATATGTCAACGGGCTGTTTCATCCTCTGGAGAAAAAACAAATATTTAGTGAGACACATAGGTAAAAGAATTCTCTAGAGCATTAAAAAGTTTCGTGCCATTTAAACAAAACTCCAATAGAAAAAAGAGAACCGGTTGTCTTTTGTGGTATTCTTGAGAAGTGGAAACGAATCCTGCGGTTATTTATGTATTGTGACATTTCTTGTTGGTCAGATTTAATCGATACACTCCATTAGTGTTCGGGCGCCCGACTCCTTTCATGGTGTCGCCAGCTTGTTGAGATCAATGGCTATCGTGAAGTCTATTTCTCATTTAATTTGCTCTACTGCAGGAAGAGGACACGTTCAGGCTCCTGTAGAAGGGCGACTATTTTAACCATCAGCGTTATGTAGAGAACGACTGTGTATAAATTGTTCAACAGACTGACGCAAATGTAGCTGTCATAATGAAAGGATGTAGTATACTGTAGAGTTACCAGCAAAATGTGTCTACAGGAGTCAGCATTATGTATCATGTGACAACGTCTCAAACTCTACACGAGGAATTTGACCGATACTGTGAAAAAGTATAAACTCATAAGGTCGAACAGGACGCCCACAAGGTGTCAGCCGTATATGTAGACTTGTGGGTGCATTATCCTAACCTGAATAAGTCATCACTTTGGTAGACACTGATAGTTACTGATTTGTAGTGGCATGGAAAACATAGGTGTGAGCTGGAGTTTATTCCGTAACGTTTCAGCCCTTTGGCATTATTACCAGCGTCATTACGTCCACTAATTACCCCGAAATCAAATCGTGGACCATAAATTCGGAATCAGTATTTCAGTATGCTCTCTCAGTATACTCAGCAAAATTCCAGAGATCGAGATTTTGGCCGAAACGATAAGCCTTAAGAATATTTCGACCAAAATATACTT